AAGCTCTAAGGTTATTCGTCGATTCGTTGCCGTACTGCTTCTCTGACAAAATCAACTGCTCTAATTCCTCGCGAAACGCTTTTGATTCCAAGATCTGACGCACCCGTTTACGTCTTTCCATTTCATTGAGATCTTCCTGGAAGCGTAAAGAAAATTTATCAAAAATGCAAATTAAGCGTTTTGCTAATTTACAAAAAATTCTACACTGATAAATTACAGCGCAAATTTTCTGGGTTCATATGCCATGAAAATGGTGACGACTTAAGTGATACATACCCCTTAAATAAAATATTTTACGGAAAAAATTGCGATCAAAGAAATATAGGTCACAACGATTTGCTTCTGGTACCATCATAACAATCACCTGTATTAATAGTATAATCATCAGCATCACCACAATCATAATCATTATTGCAGATATGGTTTTGGGTAACAAACAACGTAGATGTGGACATTTTGCCACGAACGCCATAGTATGGTCAAGGAAGAACATGGTCGGTAGCTAGCCGCTACACATATGCAAAACACATCGATATCAAGTGAATAAAGCAAAGGATTAACATCAGATTTTAAGGAGCACATTCGCAACAAAATTAATTTTAAGAGTTTAACTCAACCATTCATTTTAAATAATTGGAAATTTCTTGTAAAAGTTGGCGACAGGACACTTTAGCTTTAGCTTAGCTCAAATTCGGTACTTCATTGAGAAAACATGTTTATCGAAAGACTAATCGTTGACCACTTACTGTCGATTATAGACAAAGAAGTTTGACTGACGGAAAGCCTATCAAAAATAACGTATTGTTCAGTACCACAGTAGTCAATTTATCTGAAACGGACTGAAGATAAGTGGATATTCAATTTCAGGTTATCTTATCACAGTCTCCACCCTACGCGGTGCAAACCTCATTTAACCCCTCGTCCGGATTGCTCCATGCATGCTTCTTGCATAACAGATCGCAAAATTTTATACTGCTTTTGTAGACGACCTTAAAGTGTGCTCTCGTTGGCTCAGATACCTGGAGCATGTATGAAAAAATGCCAGAGGTCTGTTTTGACTTCGTTATGGTGCAACTGGAATACAAAAGTTTACAATTTCAACAACGGGTGCAGATTTATAATCACCATTATCATTCATCATCGTAATTACGAACTTGTTTACTCGGCATAGTCAGAGAGTACCAACGATTTTATCCACAGCATGATTAACAAAAAAACTATCAACACTGCCGCCATCATTCTCGTTATTATCACATTTCATTATCATCGCACATTCGTTTCATATTGATCCATGTAACTGATATCGAAATTTACGTTGTTAGACGACTGTTCATTAATTCGATTAGAGCAGAACCGCTTTTAAAACAAAACCAACTAGAAAGAAAAAAGACCGAAAGAAATTATAAAGCGGAAAAATTTTACAGCAACAGGACCAGTCACGAAAAACCTAGGTTATTAATTATTGTTGAACAGAATACCACTGATGTCTGAAATTTGCTGGTAAACCTGTTCATCTCTGAACTATTATTACTACTTGTTGTACATTGAGGTTCGAAATTCTTGATTTATCCGCACATGCAACCCCAACACAACCTTGGCATCATTATATCTTTTCCGAAACATAATGTCACGATTCGCTTCAAATTTAATGCTCATCATGAAAATTCTCCAGAGGGACAAAACCACATCGATTTTGATCCACAAAAACGATGGCCATCAATGCTGAAAAATAAGATCGGTGAAGAGATCGTTCCGCAACACAAGTACTGATTGTGTGCGACCGTTCTTAAATCCGCAATGATATTACATCTGAAGGAGGCCAGCAACCTGTGAATAAGCCCAAACCTGGTATTGCTGCCCTCCCATTCTTTGGACGAGATGTTCTGTTTTGATCGTTATGGGGTCGGAACTTCTCATGGTGCCTATCTGAACGTTTCATTGCAAGGTCGCAACAGCACGGTGACGAGCTTACCACTGTAATGAATTCAAGCAGTACGTATTTATTAACAATTTAACCGTTTAACAGAGGAAGTCATGGTTGACAAATTTAGTATGTCTTCCCGTATGTTAATCTTGTTTCTTGTCCGTTCCACCGTGACTACATTTAAGACCGTTCACAGCTGCTAGTTTGTTTCCTTGTGAATGATGCTGTCTGCACCGCACTGTACGGCATAGTTCCTTAGTATAATGTGATCCGCAACGGCAAAGCCCTTCTCATCTGCTCTACTGAGATAAGCCACGCGTTCACTGATCCGGATCTTCAGCCTTGCACTAGTTTCTCCTGTGTAGCTCTCTGCACGAACACTTTATTCGATGTACTATTCTCGCAGAGTTTCTGGTTTTGTATGTTGTCTTCCTTGCAGAGTACGGTGGCCAGCTCCTGTTCGGATCGGCAAACCGTGGTTACCCCGTACCAGCTCATGAAAGGTTGACTATTGATTTAGGCCCTTCTGGTATGGAATGACTAAAATTCAGAACACGGTTTCAGAATTCTTCTTTGATGATCGTCGTTCCCACTGGGTTCTGTACCCTGGTTAGCCTAGAGTCCACCTTGTGGAATTTTTCGTGGGTTTTCCTCTAGCTCGATGCCAAGGTTGCCGTTGCCTTCATGGAGAGGGGACGAGTCAACATTGCTTAACGTTTCCAAAGTATGCATTTGAAAGTCATGCATTTGTTGATGTTGGTGGGTAGGGTTCCGTTTTATCCTGCATACCAAAACATCCTCTAGGAATGGAAGTATTCAACCGTTCATTTGCTTTACCTCGAAAAATTCAAAAAATATTAATGCAAGTGGAATATGCGTTAAAGGTAATAAAACCGGATTCAAATTGCAGTGCAAAATTTTCTCTTATGAATTACTAATTCCTCTGAGAACGAACTGACATGGTTATGCTTCGACGTAATGCGCTAACCACTAACAACGGCTGGCGGGTCGTAGCACTGTGAACAGTTCGGACAGCAAGACGTCTGGGGTACGGTCATACCAGAATGGCCAAGGTGTTCGGCACTGCTGTCCATTGCATGCACTTCACTTGACCCACCTGCTAGTCGATTAACAGTCAATACAACGTTTAACGGAAGGTAAACAATAAATTCACAATAAACACATGCATATCGAATGACATTAACCGAACGAACCTTAATGACAGCAGGCCGCTGCAGATCTCGGATGTAGTCGGGATCATCGAGATCAATTTCTCTACGTTCGGTCACAGATCGTACCGGCGAAGCGAGTCCGTTCTGTTGTAGTGAAAGCTTTTGTTTGACGGGCATATTTTCGCACTATTAGATCCACACAGCCACAAAAGAGCCGATATTCGTTAAGTGGGTGGATCACCTAGAGACCCGGAGGCGAAGCTATAAAGCAAACAGGTGTAATAAAATTCCAACAACACAGTCCATTTAAACAAAAAACACAAGCGATCACATTTTAGCGGATTAATGTTCGACCACTAATATCTGTGAAAACAGACGGTCAACAAAACATCAACCGTTTAACGTATAATCGTAAGAAGATGCTAATGAAACTTAACCGAAATCGCAACACATTCAGATGTCCCTTTTAGAAGGACGAGTCGCTGAATTCCTCACTAGCTCACGATGCCCCAGTCTAGAGTATTCGGTGCTACTGACTTCACCTTAATGACAAGTGTACAAGATTTCACACAAAAGCGTTGTTGTCAAGGAATCTCACGCAACAATAGGAGAGTAACGAGAGTTCGGCTTTAACAGCCATCGAATCGACAAGCAAGCGACAAACAATTATAAGCTGCTTACATTCAGTAGTAATTGCCTGTAGCAGGAGGATGAAGAGGAGTAGTATTAGGAGTAGTAGTAGTAGTAGCAGCAGCAGCAGCAGTTCTTGACATGTAAATATGCTAGCGATACCGAATCGCCTATGACATTTGACGCCTTTGAAATGTTCCTTGAACTTGCTTTTTGCCATACCGTGTTTTAAAAGGATATATATATCTCAAGTAAGCCCAAAATATACTTTTACTAACAATAGCTGATTTTCGCTAAGCTCTGCTAAATCAGAAAATACCAAGCACCTTTTCAGAACGATGAACTGGTTTATGACGTTTTACCCTCCTACCATGCAGCATTACCATGTAATTATGAGCACAAATTACAGAGCAAATCAAGCAAGAAGCATTAATTGGGTCGGGTAAAGAGTACGGTTCAATTTTCAAGGCTTTATTTCCTGTGGTGTACGCAGACACCGCAAGAAACTAGCTAACTGGGCCCAAGCTCACTGACGAAAACTGCGAGCGGGCTAAGCCTCACTGACCCGTCACCAAAAAGTGAATTGGACCGGATGGGAGATATGCAGAAATCTTGTGATATATGCCATGATTTGACAAAAACCGGGCACCATTTCAAATGGGTCAAACATCATAGGCGGTTCGTGCTTCTGTTTAAGCTCTGTTAGTTTCAAATGATGAAGACAGTCACAATAACTACAAGTATAAGAGGCTTATGGCAACTGCTAAATTGCCTGTCGATTGAGTGGCTGTCGAAGCAAAGCTTTATGAACCTTTATTATACCGTACACTGTATATGGCTAAAACCTAATGCGCATAATGAGTCGCTTCACTGAGTTACACTATAGAATTACACTATTATTTCACTGATACATGTACAGTGCTGTAGTATACAAAAAACAGACTACAAACTCTAAATTGCGTACGCACGATAACAATACTACATTATGTAAATAAAAACGTAATAACGCTGTATATAAATTATGTATAAAATCATGATGATACAAACCTCACTGACTAACTGGAATGTTACGCTGTACCATGGAGAGCACACCCCTAGCATATACAGTTCATATACACTATCGAAGATGACAAAATAGTAGCATATTCCATAAAGTAGTTAAATTATATAACACATGTAGCAGAAGTCCGACATTATGTTTCTATCGAATTCGTCGTACACTACAGCATTGTATGTGTACCATGATGTCACTGTACAGTACTCATTTTATGATCTGATACAATACCGTAGTTCGCCATCTGACCACTATTGTCTATCATAGCTTCTATTGCCACTGTAGCACAAAAATACTGCATAATAAAGCTACACTGAAGCTTGAAATCTACATGATTACGCTATGCTGCAGAAGCGACACAATGCACATATACGTATCAACACACAAACATTGTTCATATATGTAATCCATAATATTGTACATTAATTATAACATTAAGACAGAGCACCCACTCTGCGATAAAGAGAAATGTTCAGCATGTTAAACGAACTTTATTCTGAGCCTTTCTAACTGATGCACAGGAAGTAATGTGCAAAACAGATAATAGAGAATAACAGTGGCATATTTTATGAGCATACGTACGTTGTGACTTATGTTACAGTGACACCATGAATGTGCACAGAAGAATATACTGTAATAACGTAGATCGCATACCGTAGAATAACTAAAAATTCTGAGCTCAAACCACGCACTTGAAAT